TTAGGACTGCCTCCGTTGTGCCCCGTATAGATGTTAGTATGCTGTGTTTTCATTTTCATTCAATTCTGGGAATTTTTAATTTTCCTTATTTTTTTTCCCTTGGACACATTATCATTTGGTACTGTACTGTTGAGTGTCCACTAGTGTGTGTACTTTCTCTTATTAACATTGGTATCAACATTCAGCTTTTATTCCATTGTGGTTGGATAAAGTGCAAGATGCTATTTCAGTTTCTCTGTATTTGCTGTGGCTTGCTTTGTGTGCTTATATGTGATATGTTTTCATGAACTGCTGAGAAGAATACATGTTCTTAGTGTTTGGGTGGAATATTCTGTAACTATCTGCCAGGTCCATTTGATTATGTCATCACTTAACTCTAATTTTTCTTGTTTAGTTCTGTTGCGATGACCTGTCCATTGGTGAGAATGAGGTATTGAAGCTATCCACTTTCATTGTATTGGAACTGATCCATAAATTTACATCTAATAGTATTTCTTTTATGAGCTAGGGAACATTTGTCCTTAATACATATAATTTCGAATGATAGTATTTACTCCAATGTGTACCAAGTGACTTTCCTTATCTCTTCTGCCTCATTTTGTTTTGAAGTCTATTTTGCCACATATTAGAATAACTTTGCCTGCTTGAGTCTTAGTTACATAGGCTTGGAATACCTTCTACCAGCCCTTTCCACCTAAGATGGTATCTGTCATTGACTTTGGAGTATCTTTCTTAGAAGCAGAAAAAAAAAATGGTCTTGCTGTTTCTTCTAACTCAGTGGGCTAGTCTTTGTCATTCCAACAGATGAACAAGACAGGGTGGCTAACACAGGAGACAAATGGAAACGAGATTTGGGCACTTGCTGCTTCTCTGGAAGACTCAGGTTCCAATCTAGAATTCATGTGGTAGCTTTCAACCTGCCATAGCTCCAGTTCCAGGGTGTCTGTCACCCTCTCCTAGCTTCACTGCCACTGGGTACACAGGCATACATCCAAGCAAAGACACCTATACACAGAAAGATAAAAAAACAGATATCCTAAATTTTAATCTTTCATTTAATCACACACATTACATGGTTGCCTTTAGTCTTCTAAATAACAGCAAGAACATTTAGCAATTGTAAAGACACGGCAATAATGTTAAGCACATAGAAGACTTAGAGGATGTTTTTTTAAGACTCTCATTCTATTCTCACAGCAAACTTAGATAGTACTATTCACCCAAATCCACAGCATAGTTAAAAAAAGAAAGCCAAGTGTAACTTGCATATAGCTAAGTCTGATTCCCATAGTGTCTCTATTTTGACCAATGGTTGCATGATTGAACTTCAAAACTCAGACACTGATGAAATGAAAAGAGACATTAACAAACACTTCCAAGCAATTTCAACACACTCTGTCTATTGGTAAAATATTGCTATAATCATGCCAAGCATGTTTTAAATACTGCTGGCCATTCATCTGTATTTTATCTCTTTTAGAACCAGATCCACAGTGCTCCCTAAATTACTTGCTGAATATTTTTTTCTTATTGTAGCCCACAATCATATATTTAAAATCTTTAAATGTAACATAGTAAACAAGTTACAAAACTGCAAAGCTGACACATATCAGTAGAATTTTAGGACATTTAATTTTGTTTTATTTCATCTTGAACTTAATGAACTTCAGATTATTTTGAAATTAATGACTTATTGAGATACAGAGCAAGGGGTAAGACCATGACCTCTTCTATTTTTCAAATATGCGAAAGTTTTAAAGTATACCATTGCTTTAAATTGGTTGTCATAGAATACTAATTTCTTTAGATGCTCAATGTTTATTTGGTGGGATGTCAAGATAGCACAGAAATCATCAATCACTTTGTAAATTACATTGCCATCCAATCCACTGAAAACGGAGTGTTAGAGTCTCATTCTGTAGTTCTAACCACACAACCCCTGTGTCATTGTGAGTTTAGTTTAAATTTGAGGTCTTCACTGCTCAGCAGTATACAATACCTTGCCTAATTTACTAATATGTTATTCCAAACAGCCATCTATTTTGGGCTTAGAATGAAACAAGGATTGAATCAGTATTTATGAATGAAATTAAGTACGAAGTTATTGAAGAATGGTATAAATGTTGTCCTGGGTGATAACAGTTTGGAGACAGAAATAAAATTATTTCTTTGTGAAAGAATTCCCTATTTTAAAAGAGGGAAAGGAGAAGTCTCTATTTGGAGAATATTTTAGAATTTTATGCATTTTAGAGAAATATGGGTGTTCATACAAGCTGCTTGATACTTGCACCATTGGTAGCATAGTTCCCCGTTTTCACTCTGTGCCCCTTTTTCACCCCCAAAGTTATTTAATGAGAAAACTTTCTGTCCTTCACTGTACTGATTAGCATTTCTGGGAACACTGCCTGCGAATGCAGTATATACTGCACTGACATCTCTCTGCTGGATGTGCTGATTCACTGGCACTAATTTGTCATTTTCAGAAGCATTTATTCTCACATATATTTCAGCCTGGTGGAGTAGCGGGTCGGAGGGTAAAAGCAGGTTACCTGTGGGTAGAAGCAGATAATGGGCATTTTATTACCCAGACATCTTTCTTTTTAAAGCTGCTATTCTCAAGGATTGGACAGGTGACCTCCAGCCGTGATTTTGATTCTGTAAATTGAAATAGGTTGCAACACTATTCATTGCTCACAGATGATTATGCAAGAAGTTAATGTCATACGATTTTCCAACTGACGTGGTTTCTTAAGCTTTCCCTGCCTTATTTCTCTCAAGCTCGCTGTATGTAAGTTTTCACAGAAATCAACTAAATTCTGTAAATCTCTTAACTAAAAATTAGTAAGCACAGTTATCTTGTAAGTCTGCTGTGTTTAGGATTTGGAATGGTGACTAAAGGCTTGTCTATCTCAATTTCAGTTAAATACTTTGTTAGATACAGTTCATACCTGCTAAGATAAAACCAAGCATAAGATTAAGATTGTAATCTTTATAACAAAATCCATATTTAGTTGTAACAATATCTACATGAAGTCCTTACTCTATTGCCTTGATTTTCAAGTCTAAAATTTATTGTTTCTTTTGGGAAATTGACTAAATTAAGGGAGATTAAGAAACATTGAATAACCTTTGCTTTGCATTTAATATGGATAACCAGGCTACAGTTCACAACCTCAGAGAAGCTAGGTAAAGAGGAAGACCCTAAGAGGGATATGCATAGATTGCCCCAGGAAGAGGAAAATGTTACGATCTCCTGGGTAAACTTGGAGGGAGGTGTAGAGGAGAGGAGATGGAGGGATGAGAACATGAGGGATCCAGATGACCGAGTTTGGAGAGGGACAGAAAGAGAGAGCAATGAAAGAGATATCTTAACAGAGTGAGCCAGAATGGGGATAAGGAGAAACCTGGTGCTAGGGATATCCCCAGGAACCCACAAGGATGTCCCCAGCTAAGACTCTTAGAAATGGTGAAGAGGGTATCTGAATTAGCCTTCCTCTGTACTCAGGTTGGTGCTCCCCTAATTGTCATCATAGAACCTACATCCAGTGACTCTTGGAAACAGATGCAGAGACCCACAGCCTCTGACCTGGAGTTCAGTTGAAGAAAGGGAAGAGGGATTATAGGAACAAAGGGGGTCAAGATCATGATGGGAAAAACCACAGGACAGCTGACCCGAGTTAGTGAAACTCATGGACTCTGGACTGACAGCTGGGGAGCCTGCATGGGACTGAATTAGGCCTTCTGAATGTGGGTGACAGTTGTGTGGTTTGATCTGTTTGTGGGGCCCCTGGCAAATGGGACCAGGACCTATCCTGACTACATGAACTGGCTTTTTTTGAGCCATTCCCTATGGTGAGATGTCTTACTCAGCCTTGATGCAGGAGGGAGTGGATTAGTCTTGCCCCAACTTGGTATGACAGCCTGTGTTAACTACTCAAGGGAAGCCTTACCCGCTATGAGGAGTGAATGGGGGTGGGATGAGAGGAGGTTGGGAAAATGGGAGAAGGGAATGGAGGTGGAACAGAGGTTGGTATGTAAAATAATAAAATAAAATTAAAAAATGAACAACAACAACAAAGAAACATTGAATAACTAATTTTTCATAAAGCCTGTCAACATTAAGTATAACAACATACAATGATGTCTGTATTTTGGAGCACAAACCATTCACAGCTGCCAAAATCAAAAGATGATTGCTGTGTCCCTATGCCAGTACAGTGTACAGTCCTTGGCATATCAGGAGCTTCTAAACTTCTTTGCTGAAAAGAGGTCAAAGCCTGGGTATAGCAGGAGGAGATGTTGTGGAGTGAGAGAAACCAGGATAGAGAAGATAACTATTGTGGATCCTCTATACGCTGAATCCCCACAACAGAATGGGTTGATCTCATACCAATAAGAAATTGATGAGCAATGCTGACTCTAGGCAAGAAAAACAGATTGGTTAATTTCTAATTTGAATGAATATGTTTTTTTTTTTTTTTTTTTTTGGTTTTTCGAGACAGGGTTTCTCTGTGTAGCTTTGCGCCTTTCCTGGAACTCACTTGGTAGTCCAGGCTGGCCTCGAACTCACAGAGATCCACCTGGCTCTGCCTCCCGAGTGCTGGGATTAAAGGCGTGCACCACCACCGCCCGGCAAAATTCACATGACAACTCTTTTTGTTTTGTTTTGTTTTTGTTTTTTCGAGACAGGGTTTCTCTTGTGTAGTTTTGGTGCCTGTCCTGGATCTCGCTCTGTAGACCAGGCTGGCCTTGAACTCACGGAGATCCCCCTGGCTCTGCCTCCCGAGTGCTGGGATTAAAGGCATGTGCCACCACCGCCCGGCTGAATATGTATTTTTTTAATAAAAACAACCTCTCAGCATTTACTGTCACCTGATAATAACATAAGGGCCACTAAAACAATATGAATAAATCTTGGACTGTGCTCCCAGCAGCAGACACCTTTAAAAACACTACATGTGCTCTTCAACCTTTTCAACTTCTCGAGCGCTTGCCAGTTTCTAGTTGGAAACACTCTGGAGCGGAGTAATATTGTCTCCTTTCAGCATGATCCGACCCAGTTGTTTCCTTGACTTTGATTTAGAATGAATTTCTTCTGCATCATCTAATACGAGGTTCATGAACTCATCAAAGCCAATAATACAACCCTCTATCCGCATATTCACGTGCTCATACAGCCAGACCTGAATCTGAGAGCTATTTTGCAAGTATCTGAAGATGAGGTTGATGGGTTGCACCATCCCCTTCTGTACCTTCTGGCCCTGGTCCCAGAACTCCATGGTGGAAGTCACAAAGACCACACGAGTAGGAAGACCATGAATATGTATTTTATCTTTGGCTTGATTTTGAGAAATGACACTGTTTCTTGTCTATTCTAAGCTTTATTTTTATTATTTCTTTATATTTTACTGGTTCCTTGAGAATTTTGTACATTAAGCTGTGATCAGCTCTCCCAGATCCTACCGCAACTTCCATCCTTACTCACCCAACTTCATGTGTTTTTCTGAAACAATCAAGAGCAATTTGTGGTGCTCAAATATTCTTGAGTGTGAAGCCTTCTACTGGAGCATGGCAGAGTTAACAGACTACATTCTTAGGAAAAGATGACCTTCCCACTCCCAGTAGCTTATAATTGTCAGTACTTCTCAGCTGAGGGTGAAACTCCATGCCATATTCTCCCCCTCCTTCCTGAGACTTAGTCTGGCCTGGACTTGTAAAAGTCTTCTGTAGTCTGTTATAAACACTGTGAGTTCATATGGCATCTCCCCTTCTCTGTCCAGGAGAGACACTGTTTCTTTGCAATAACCTACTACCTCTGGCTCTTATACTATTTCTCTCCTATCTTTCACAGTCATCCTTGAGCCTTGGGAGAAGGGAGTATAGTATCACTGTTCCATTGAGAGCTGAACATTGCAGCATCTCTTATGTTCTGCACCTTGGCTCGTTGTGAGACACTGTGTAATGACAATCCACTGATTTAAATAAAAGCTTTTCTGATGAAGACTAAGAGGGGCATTAATCTACAGGTATAATGATAAGTCATTAGGTGGCATTGATTTAATGCTCTGTCCTTTTAACAGAATAATAGTAGTAGGTTCTCCCTGAGGGCCTATGGCTGTCTCGCCATAGGTTCTTGGACCAAATGTTATATTTGAAGAGAATGAGCTGGGTCTGTTTTTCATTTGGTTCTATGAGCATTTAAAGAGTTCCAGTCCAGGAATTACTCTGCTTCCTCAATTTCTGAGAATAACCATAAAGGCGCAAATTTGTCTTCTTAGTTATTCCAGTAATATTTGAAATGCAAAAGCCCTTTATACTTCTGGGGGTTTCTAAGCTTCAAAATAATGAGTGGGCAGCCAATGCTCTTACATGACTGCATTCTTTGGAATTTAGTGCTTTATTATTTTGCTTTTTTCATAAAGAAAACCAGTGCCTCTTTACTTTAGCTGACCTGATACAAACATCTTAGGAACACAAGGCATTATGATCAAAGAACATTATGTGCAAGTAGAAAATGTCACTGTGAAATCCATTATTTTACACAAATTAGTAATACATTTTGCCCTGAAATATAATTTGAAACACCATCTAAGTATTTCAGCTGTGCTTCTCCATGAAGCACATTCAGCCTGCTTGACTTATTTGCTTCTCTAAAACAGAGGTTCTTGGAATTTAAGTAAATAGTATGTACACTAATGCTAGAAGTGGAATCTCACATATTCTTGAAGTATTTCAAACTTCAAGAACCATTTCTTTTTTAGCATTTAAATAGAGTATTTCTTTCAGATATTCAGTCGTATCTTTTATATCCCTTGATTCATGGAGCAGAATTATTCATGAATTCTTCATGAATTCAGAAGTTGATTTTTTTTCAAGTGATATGTCACACCTATGATTGTACAGGCTGAAAAAATCTAATAGTGTCCATGGTAATATGTTTTTAAGTGATTTTGGAATAATTCTAAGGAAAGTTCTAAGGATATAGTTAATAGAAGACTGGATAATACAGAACAAAATGAATCAAATTCAATAATAATACCAAGTAATTAACAAAGCTAAATTATATAAAGTGATGGTCAACTTCAGTCATATTAGGCATGGAAAAAATAGAAGAAAATGAAGTAATACCTTGATATCTGTAAAATGCATACAGAGAAACTGCCAACATACAATTTTAGGACCAAAAAAACATCATTCAAAAAAAATAAAATAAATATATATCAAAATTTTTAAAGTGAGGAACTGTATTAACAAGATAAAACATTATTAGAAATTCACAAGTGATTATCTTGATGTTAAACGGAATCATTTAGATTAATTTAAGGTCCAGAAGTTGAACAACAGCAGAAAGACAATTATATATAGGAATAAATAAGCATAACATTCTTTTTAAAAATATTTAAAGATATATTATGGGTTAAACCAAAGAAAATGAAAATATGCCTGCAATTTCAAGAGGTAATGTGAAGATGATCACCATCTTCTTATACAAGTTAGCATGACAAGGATTTATGTTAGATCAAGATATATAAACAATGGGCCCTAGAACTAACTGAGTAGCCAATGAAATTGTAAAGAGTAAATATAAATGTAAATATAATGAACCAACAAAATAGAAAATGGAGATTAATAATAATAAAACTCATGTGACAACATGGTAAGACTAAACTCAACCAAAGCAAGTAAACACAGTAGATGTAAATCAAGGAAATGTTTCTATGAAAAAGTTAGAAAAGTGGACTGAAAAAATGCTCTATGGAAAATCAATGATGTGAATACAATACATAGAACAATTCAGACAGAAATATGGAAGGAATTTCTACACTGAGGATGTTTTAAAAGCCATAGGGGAATATTATTTTATGACTAAAAATACATGTGTCATAGATATATGCATATGTATACATATATGCACATGTATGTACTATATATACAAGGAAACAGAAAGAGGGAGAGAGAGAGAGAAAGAGAGAGAGAGAGGCTGATTGATTGATTGATTTATTAAATGAAGTTATGCCACTTCAGGTGATATTGCTTCCTCCAAGGTCCATAGACTAACAAAATCTAAGTGCCAGGCATGGGAAACCTTTTTTTTTTGGTCAATGGAGTAAAAAAGACTCCCCTAAATAATATAGGCTATTGCTGTTGCCTCTGGTTATTTCCCAGAACTTGAATGAAGATCCTATTGCTAGAGACTCTCCACAGGTCTGACACAAGACTTTGAGGGAAAGAGCTGGAAGTGTGTCCTGGAAACCTTGCTGAGGACTGGCTTAAGGTACTCACTACACAGGGAGATGCTCTCAAGGGAGAGCAGCAAATAGTAGTTGTACCAAACTGTAAAACCTACGAACCTCAACAGTAAATAGACAGCAGGATTGCCAATGGTACAGTAGTGTCACTTATATTTGGATGCCAATAAAGTCTATAACTGAGCTTAAAGTCCCCTTAAATAGAAAGAAATCCATGCTTGGTGCTGTGAATATAGCCTAGAAACTATGGCTAGAGAGGCTATGGACATTAGAGAAGATCCTGCTGCGGTCAATTCCCTACACCAGCTTAAGTTCTGACTTCATTCCAAAAATTTATCCTTATCCCCATAGATAAATGTAGCACTCAACCCTTATCTGAGCAGTTTATCTGCAGAAATGAAGAGTATTTTGGAAATCTACAACTGCTAAAAATGAAGAGAACGACCAACCTTTATTACTTCTGCTTTATTTATTTGCACTTTAGAGATTCTAACTTCTATCTGAAGACTGATTAACCCTTTTATGTGAAGAACTCTCATATATATATACCCTTTCTTCATCTATCATTGGGTAATTTAAAACATAGTTTGAGTCTACTACCATTGAAAAGTAAAGATTATAATTTTTAAATAGAATAAGATCAAACAAAAGCTAACACATCAGAATTGGACAAAAGAAGCAGAAGGAAAAGAGCCTGAAAGAAGGCATAAGAAACAGAGACCTACTCACAAGGTCACTCAGGAATACCATGAAAACACTAAAGAAGAAGCCAATTATACATATGCAAAGGACCAGTGCAAACTTATACAGGCCCTGTGAATGCTGCCTTAGTCTCTGTGAGTTCATATGTGTGTTGGTCTTACTGTGTTTAGAGGGCCTTGTGTCCTTCTTGGTGTCCTCCATCCCCTCTAGCTCTTATACTCTTTCTGCCTCCTCTTCCATAGGGTTCCCTGCACCCCTATGTGAGGGATTTGGTGGAGACATTCTATTTAGGGCTGAGTGTTCCAAGGTCTCTCATTCTCTGTATAATGTCTGGCTATGGATCTCTGCCCCTTCCCCAATCCATTCCTCTTTCTTTCTCTTCAGAAAAGGGCAGGCCTTCCATGGATATCAACAAAACATGGCAAATCAAGTTGGAGTAAGACTAAGCAACCTCCGCTCATATTAAGGCTGGACAAGGCAACCCTGTACATAGAATAGGGTCCCAGAAGTTGTCAAAAGAGTCAGAGATAGGCCCTATTCCCAGTGTTAGGAGTCCCACAAGAAGACCAAGTTACACAACTACAATAAATGTGCAGAGGGCCTAGGTCAGTCCCATGCAACCTCCCTGGTTGTTGATTCAGTCTCTGTGAGCCGCAATGAGCCCAGGTTGGTTGATTCTATGGATTTTCCTTGTGGTGTCCTTGACCTCTGTGGCTCCTACAATCCTTCTTCCCCAACTCCACCTAATATTTGACTGTGGGTCTTTAAGTTTGTTTTTGTCAGTTGCTGGATGAAGCCTCTCCAATGACAATTGGAATAGGCATCGATCTATGAGTATAGCAGAATATCATTAGGCATCATTACACTGTCATTTTTTTTTTTTTTTGCTAGTTGTGTTTGGTTCTATCCTAGTTATCTGGGCTCTCTAGCCTCTGGGTCCTGGCTGGCACTCTAGGCATTGTTAGGGGTGGGCTCCCTTTCATGGCATGGGTCTCAGGTTGGATCAGTCATTGGTTGGCCACTCTCACAATGTCTGTGCCACATTTAATCCATCATTGTAGGTAGAAGGTTTTGTGCCTGGGTTACTGTCCCAATCCCTCTGCTGTAAGCATTGCCTGGTTACAGGAGATGGCCAATTCAGGCTATTTTCTTGGAGTGCTAGCTAGGGACACCCTTGTAGATTCCTGGGAGTTTCCCTTCTACTAGGTATCTACCTCACCCCCAAAAAGTACCTCCCATTTCTAGTTGTCTCTTCCAGTACTCTCCCCCTCCATCCCTCCAACCTCATCCCTTCTGTTCCCATCCCCATAGGCCCAAAGTCCACCTGC